TTTAAGTGACTTTCATGTGCTTTGACTTTTTAGGGTTGAGATGACTCCTCCGATTTGAATTGATAGTGCTTTAAATGACTTGATATGTGCTGTAAATGACTTGATAGTGCTGTAAATGACTTGATATGTGTGCTTTAGTGCTGACATTAATTTAATTGTGTTAGCAAGTAAACATATGAGTAACAGTTTGTGGTGGTGTTTTCTTACTCCTTGCTGGCTGACAAATAGGTGAAGTAAGAGTCCACTTAAACGGTAGGTAACAGGCATGGGATTAGTAATCAATAAACCATTACTAAAAGTGTCTAACAAGTGGGATGTCTGACAGATGGGAGGACATCTTCCAGTTATATCACGGCGTGTCAGCTTAATATGGGAGGAAAGCCCGAAGTGATGCAGGTCTCAGACGTTTACAACTTTGGTAAAATCCACGAGCACGGGCATGGCGCTGACAAACCTAAAAACATAATCGTGTCGAACCGGCTTTCAAACCCACTGTCATAGGTTCCTGGCGTGCCCAAGGGCCACAACTCCACACATGATATCAATAACAAGGAAAGATTAGATTCTGAAAATATATTAATAATAACCTTACCACAGACATCATCAACAGAAACATCTTCATACAAAGGACTTATCTAGCTTCATTATATCAGACTCGATCCAGTGTAGGAAAGGGGAGCCCGAGACACGATCTACTCAGAGCGTCATGTCTTGTGATTTCATGCAGGTCAACAGATATTATATTTGCTATGAACTTGTAACCTCCTTGGACAACATATATTACGAGCAGCCAAATTCACGATACGGGAGTGCATCTGCTGACATAGTGAACACGACGTTTCTATTGCCTGGCTAATGGATCCAAAGAGGTCAACTCTCATTTGCAACAAAAAGTTAACATTCGTAAATCGACTGTGGTGGTGAATTTTGTGATGATGCTTCGACAAAAACTATTTTATTTTTGATGCTCTGAACCTTTATAATTGCACGATCCTTGCATTATTATAATCCCAAAGTTCGACTCTCTATTGTTAGCGTATTTGTGCGCGAGTACTTTTGTGATAATGTCAGAGACAACAGGCCCGTGTGATTAGTGCAGGCAAACACTTAGCCGTGAACAACTTCCCGGTTATTCGTAATGGCGGGTGTCTTGATGACTGACTGTCGACATGGTATCTTCGGTCTGCTTATAAAGTTCAAATCTGATGCGATGACAAATAATACAATGAAAGTAACTCTTGGTGATTGCGTTATTAATGCTACACCGATTGTAATTGTAAATTCTAAAACCATTCCAACGCATGCAGGCTGAAAGGAATTTACATAAATACACATGTGATGTCATTCCTTCACACTGCACATACCCGGTAGTGAAAGATATCATGGGAGTATATAAGAAATTTATCTACATGGATGTTGGTTAACGATAACACGGCTATGGGAGAATAATACTAAAACAAGGTCATTTGGCCTGACAAGAGTGATAAACAAACATTATAACAATTTAAGAGATGCACTGAGAGCGAGACCCCCGGAAGTGGAAGTGTAAACAAACTGCCGAACGAGCACATGGCAAAGGATACAAATAAATATATCAGTGGTGAGTGGTAAAGTAAAGGCGTTAGGGTTGAGATACTACGAGATGAACTGCATATAATGACATGGATAGTATTATCATTGCACAAACAAAAATATTAAATTAACATTTTGTGCAATGAAAACACGACAAAGGGTAAAGAAAACAATATAATTTAATACACATTGGGATATATATGATATATACAAGGGGGCTGCTCGGTCGGACACTGAATGTCCAGCGGACGTGGGTTTGTTCTAGGGCCATGCTGGCCTGCGTGGATAGGGCTACCCTGCGGGTAGAGAGGTATTGAGGAAAAGGAGCAGATTATTATTAGATTGAATGATAGGGGTACCCTGTGGGTATGGAATGTGAACTGGTGGCTGCGCCGGACCAGGTAGGTAAGGAATTTTTGGGGCCCCAAGCCATGTAATGCAGTTGCCTGAGGCATGCAATGTCTTGAGACGCCCAAACGAGGTTGTGTACGACCGAGTGCCCCCAAAGATGAGTAAGATACACGGTCACGAAACCTGATAATTGCGAACTAATACATGAATAATATGGCATGGAATCTGTATTGTAGATTAGGGTCCACATAACGACCGCTGTGCGTTTAGCAGAGTCTCTTCTGAAGTTCTAATATATCTCTGGAAACAGTCTGAATTCCAGCGGCCCATAGTCTTAATTAGGTGGTCCTCCACCCGGGCGCTAGCTGCGGTGGTGGTAGCACCGATACGGAACGAGTGCCCACTATACTCGTTTGAGTTAAAACCGGCCCTAGTCAGCACTCTGCTGAGCCAGGACAGAAACATTGCCCGTGTGCACCCTCACTAGAAGCTCGCTGAAGAGTTCTGGTATGGATGAGCTTCCTCAAACTTGAGAACGGGCACAAGCGACTATTAGAAAACAATATTATGAGGACGCCTACTCGAAATGGGTCCGTCTTGGAAGCCTTCAGCAGGATAGTGCAATTTCTCTTAGCGAAGTCAAACTTGATGTCACTCAAACAGCACACCTGGCAGCACACGTGATTTCTCCACATGTGAGAAACCCGAAGAAGGCAGTTAAGCAGATGTTTCTTCCGAGAATATTTCCCCTCGGCAAGTCCAAGTGGACTAACCCTGTATGTGTCATAGGGGGACTCCTGGAAAGGCCCGGTAACGTACTGCTTGGCACATTCTTTCCTGACAGCTGCGGACACATCCACCGGATTTCTCCTGGCACTAAGGTTGTTGCGGCATTCCACTGTCGATTTAGGCACAGAGTCTAACATTGGATTGAATCCTGTCTCCAGGCCAGAAATGAGATTTTTGTTACAGATCTCTTGTCCATCACGTCGAACATGAGGTCTACCTCTGGAGTCTATGTACGTGGCATTACTGTCCACATTTCGTCGGTCATATGGAACATGTCTGCCTTGAGGCCTGCCAATTGGTCGGCGAGCTGTAGCTATACTCGGGCAGACTTCGGTGCCGTGGGTTACACTTTGACACGCTGAACACGTCCTGGTACGGTGCCCTGAGGAACACAGGCTGTAGAGTTTTGAGTCTCTCATGTCCCATCGAATGACAACTCCTTTTGCTTCAAAAGCTGCCACACGAGCTGCGAAAAGTTTGTGGTAGTCGTAGTAGCATGTCCCACCATACAGAGTAGCAAGTTCGATCACAGTCTGCTCGTGGCCATCCAGCTGTTTCTTTTTGGCATCATTGTCCTCACAATAAATGTCTTTGTAAATACCAAATGCCTGGATAAACTCTCCGAGTGTCAGTGTCCTATTCGGCCTGGGGTCATCTTTGAGCGAGTATACATTCCCATCGAATTCAGTTACTCTAGCATCCAAACTGTCCTGGTTAGGTAATGTCAACAAAGCCAAATTAACATATTCCTTCCTTCCTTCCTTCCTTCCTTCCTTCCATATCTTCCTGGATCTTTTTTCCTTAAGGAGGGGGACACTGTATTGATATGAGATAAGGAGTCTGATGGAACCTCTGTTGAGTTGCTAGCGGGGGTCAGGAGAGAAGTCTCGATACCACTCAGGGTATTCGGTGTAGGGTGGCCTAGTAGAGGCATCGCGCTGAGCCCTGTGGTTGTGATCAGTTGTCTAAGTTCGGCGATTTCTTTTTGCAATCCCGCCACCGAGGGGATCACAGGGACTGAATCTGTCAAGCTAGATACATCAGGCTGGGGACTTGTTTGATAAACTGATAAACTGGTAATGGTACCCGGCAAGTTAGTGTTGCGATTACTGCTTGGCAAGTCTTATTGTCACTCGGAAACGGAAGCCATGGTGTTTGTCGTCTCTGTTATGGGATGTGACATGGAAATCCCTCGGTTGTTTTCAGTATACAGCTGGAACAGCAGCCGTCTGTTCCACAATGCAGGCACGCTGACACCTTGACTGGCGAGACGAAGTCGAAGGTCAGCTAAAGTGAGATAAGGAGCCTTCCTAGTTCTGGGCATGCTGCGGTGGTCGCCATCTTGGTTTAGGTCAAGGGTCGCCACGTTAACCATAGCAATACTTGTGTTGAGACTAGCAGATCTGCTGCGACGTCTGGTAGTCATGTCAGCCATTTCAAAGCATAAGGCTGTAAAGAATCCCTCTGCTGACGGGGATGAAGATTGCAGATGTATAAGAAGTCAAATGGTGGTGTTAACAAAATTGACTTGACAGAACGATGGTTAAACGGCAAGATGGAGGCTGAAAGGAATTTACATAAATACACACGTGACGTCATTCCTTCACACTGCACATGCCCGGTAGTGAAAGATATCATGGGAGTATATAAGAAATTTATCTACATGGATGTTGGTTAACGATAACACGGCTCAGGGAGAATAATACTAAAACAAGGTCATTTGGCCTGACAAGAGTGATAAACAAACATTATTACAATTTAAGAGATGCACTGAGAGCGAGACCACAGGAAGTGTAAACAAACTGCCGTACGAGCAGATGGCAAAGGATACAAATAAATATATCAGTGGTGAGTGGTAAAGTAAAGGCGTTAGGGTTGAGATACTACTAGATGAACTGCATATAATCACATGGATGGTATTATCATTGCACAAACAACAATATTAAATTAACAATGATAACTTCAAAGCAAGGCGACAGCATATAACTCACACAACATTCAAAAATACTATCTAAACATAACACAATTACAATAAATATACCTGTCCTTGTTTTGGGACTGTAATGCAAGCGCCAGGCAGGGTAACAACAAGTACTATCTTAATTATTAATCTTGGTATGACGCGGCCACTTGATCGAACCGCCGACCTCCCGCTCTAAGGCTGACGCTCTACTAGACCACAGAAACAGGTCGCGAAGCAGGACATTATTGTATCAAGCTTGCTATAACCAGTGCGACAAGTGTGTTACGGGTAAGTTGACTCCACCTGAACAGTTTGGAAGGCACAAATATGTCCTGCAGGTTCTTATGTGATGGAAAACGCGTATCAAAGTACGGATACAGGACAAAGACAGACATGCATTTCAGATATTTACATTGTATGTAAGCAGCCCCCAGCTCATAGATGTCCATGTTTATTTTGACAGTGAGCAACATCAGGTGTCCCAGCTATATAGTCAAGCGGAAACAACTTCCTGGCTGTCAAACATGGCGGGTGTGTGGATACTGACTGTCACCGTGGTCACATCGGCTTTCTGGATACAGGATGTCATTGGTGAGTGACACATCATGCTTCCTTATTTGATATACATTGTATCTTTAGGTCGATTACTGTAATGTCACTACCTCATTTTGCATTATTCTTGCACGAGAGTTTTAGCCAAGACAATCATTGTAAACAACACTGAGCACGACGGTATTACAGTTAATGGCTTGCTTAAAGGGGAGTAAAGTTGTAGAAGATGGTGGTGTGCAGTGAATCAGAAACGATGTCTTATAGCAAAGGCTAAGAGAAAATGCATGTAATATAATTTGATTACTACCATCTGTTGACCAAACCGCCTCTGTGTCTGAAGAGGGGAAGTGGTCGATAGTTCGATTCCCGACTCGTGTCATACCAAATACATTAAAAGATTACACTTGCTGTTACGCTGTCATGGGCTCAGTGTTAGAGGTAAAGTAATGACTGCCCGACTCGGAGGCTCTACAATGTGTGGGTCAAACTTACAAAGTGCTGCACGGTATCTAAATGAGATTGCACTATCAAGACATAAGTCCGGACTAATTCATGCACTTCCTTTATGAGTGAAATAATCTTGAACGTGACGTTAAAATTCACCTCACCTCACCTCACCTCACCTCACCTCATTTGACCAGGTTCCTTTCAGCGAATATGTACCTGATTCGTGCAACTTTAACTGTCCATCATTACTGACGAAAAATGTGTGATGACACCTGTTCGCGAAGGGTAAGAATCTCCTGCTCTATGGATAGCACCCACCATTCACACTTTGTCCTGAGAGCATTCTTTTGTCTGCTAGTTGCCTAAAGTAACACACAGCAATACTTTAGTCGTATGGCGGTAGCCTAAAAACAATCAAGTCTTGACCAGACAACTTAGTGATTGCCATTGTGACCAACACCACGGGATCATCCAAGTCTTTAAGCCTGGCCACAAGATCCACGAACCATTTTTATAAGTGTCAGTGTGTAAGATATGAAAACTCAAAGTATTGGATAGATTTGCGTATCATGTTATGAAGCTCCGTGTCATCTTCAGTACATTCCTCTTATTGTCTACGTTAACATTCCTTGAATGACTCAACCAAGTCTTCGATGTTGAAATCTTTATTGAAAAGCTGGGCAAAATTTTATCTGTTTCCATTCTAGCCTAGTTATCATGAAAGTGTTGGTGGTATTTTCACATGGATTTGAAATGAAGGCGAACGCACCAGCATTTGCATGTAAACTATATCCTCTTGGTAACAAATGTACGACATGAACACTATTTTCCTGTACATGTCAACACGAACTTTCCATTCACGTGTACTCTAACATACGTACGCGTATGAGCTTATCTTCCTGGTTAGTCAACATGGCGGGAGAAGGGTGGTTGGTTTTCATTGCGGTGGTGTCAGGTTGCTGGATACACCACACGCTGGGTAAGTAGTCACGATGGACGGGACGAGTTACTCTTTCATGTAGAGTTACTAATATCTAAAGGTATCGAAATCCAAATAAGGAAGCATTTAACTATAGCTAGGGTAACATTTAAAACATCCTTTGTATTTTATAACACATTTAATATATTATATATCATTTAGTAACTATTGACGTAGCTTGCTTCCTTTCGTGGATGTTCTAGCAGGTTACACAACTAAGGCCTCGTAAATAGGATGATGCCGGCCTTGAAAAGACTACATTTTCACTATCTTAGATTCGAAAATGTGGTGCGTTTGTATCATAACTAAATTAATACCTTGGGCAATACGTTTCAAGTAGGGCACAACAAAATTATACATTGTGTTTAAATGTCACAATGTTAAAAGAAGCATGTACTTGCTGGTATTCCTGTGCTCCTCTTGTTCTGAGAAATTTATTGGAGTGGGGTGAAATTCATGTAAAGGTTATGAAACGACTACTTTCACCTAAATACCCTTTTAGTCTCTAACTGTTTTCTTGATTAACAAAAGGTGGAGAATTTTAAGCTGAAATTAGAGGGAGGACCAAGAAGAGCAATTGCTGTTTTCTTCACTGAAATTTGTAGGGGATGATTGTGGGGTGTATTTGCTAAAGCTTCTGTTTTAGGTGAGGTAATATAAAATATGTATGTTATTTATGATCAGTCACGTTGCCCTGAATAATAGCAATGATCAGCCCAGTTTGTGACATTGGTTGACAACAAAATAAGTATACATCATGAATCACGTATGGCTTGTAGTGAGACCTGTATGTGTCTGATCTCTCGGAACTGCAACACTAATTCTACAACTGCAAATGTACCAGGGTCCAGGATAAAGGATAGAACAAAAACTATCCAACGGAAAGTACAATTATTGAAATGGCCATAAATACATGAGAATATCAACAAGTACCAGAAAATCTTGCTATAGCGGGAAAATAAAAGTTACTTAAAAATAAATTCAATACAAGATCAAATATGCACACATATACAAGACAACATATAGCAAATCAATACATGATAATATACTTAAACGCAAAAGAAACGTCACCCCAAGTAACATTGCATGAAAAGTTGTCATTTAAATATCTTGGAAATGTTTGTCAAAGTTTCTAAAATTTAACATTGCCTTGTCCGGAAAAATGAAATTTGATGATTATATTACAAAGCAGATGACAATAAAACCCATCGCCCAAAGGATTCACGGCAACGGCCATGGTAACCCCGACGCACTTGAGTTCCGTGCACATTGAAATGCACATGCGTTCCCCCATTTCTTGCCCTATAAAAATCCACCAAGATCGGATAATATTCATTTGTTTTTGAATTGCTACCACATGCCAAGAATGACAAGAAATCACCAAGCCCTTAGACGATTGCAAGCTGGACAAACCGCCCGGCAAGTAGTCTATGCATTTCAGGTCCACGTAACGACCATATACAGGCTCCAGCAACGGTACCAGACCATCAACACAGGTGGGCACTGACACGGTACTGATTCCCAGGCTCTGGCACCATCAGGCAGGGGGAACTCCACTTGCTGTCGCTGGGCGTCATCACTCCATGTCCTTTACCAAGTTTCTCTTGTGAGGGCTGAGAAGGTAGGGATGCTGCTAAACTGGCTTTGGCCAACGTCCTCGTCTAACTCCATTTTGTTGGTAGTGCCAGGAGCATCTGGAAAGTAGCCCACGTGATCAATGATCACTGTCTGCAATGCTTCTCTTTGTTAACTTGGAAGATGCTTTAGCTCTTTTTCCAAGTCAGGCAGGACTTTGGTGACCACAACAATCATTTTCTTTGAATGACTGGCTGCGTAGCTCTCTAGCACGATATGCCTTTAAGAAATTAGCGTGGCAATAAATCTCTTTCCTGCCTCCATCTGGTGTTCTGATATCACACACTACATCATTGACCTGAACTGTGGAAGGCCCCAAATATCTTAGCTTTGACGGAGAACTTTTGGATGGGCAGATAGAATAACACTGAAATGTAGAGCACGAGCCTTCTTGTCAAAGTGAACCTTTACGCTTAGCGGTAAACAAGGGTTGCTTAGGAAATTTGGTAGCTTACCAGAGCCTATACTTTGTCTTAGCCACATAGCCAAGCAAAGTCTCGGGCGGATTATCGTGTAACCAGTTCAGTTGTCCTTTACCAACTTCAAAGGGCCGTATGGAGTATGACCATCGACCAATTCAAATGGGTAAAAACCTAGAGATTCCTAGCTAGCATTCCTAGCAGCGACCAACACATAAGGCGTTCCTACATCCCAGTCCCACTCATGCTCCAAACAACAACACTTCTACATTCTTTTTAAACTCTGATGGAAAAGTTTCAAAGCTCCGTGAGACTCACGACCTTTTGAAATATTCTAGACATGAAATTCGTCCTGATCTCACTGAATTTCATTAAGTAGCCATATAGTGAAGTACTTAATCAGAGCCTTAGTCACTACAGCCGCAATGACCTTATGTAATTGGAAAGCCTCCGGGAACCCCATACTAACACACATTACCATTATCAAGTACTGATTGCCCTGAGCAGTCTTAGGTAACGGACCTACCACGTTAATAAAGACATTGGAGAATGCCTCGGAGGATGCCTTCTCATTAGAACACCCCAATGACACTCAGATAAATCAATTACCTCATTTAACTTTCTGACGTTGGACATATACCTAGTAGTGACACACGCTGGGCAATTTTCGGGATTATCTGGACTAGCCACGACCGGCAACGGGATAACCACTAACGCCTGGTTGCATCCACCTGAACAACTAGCCATACATTGTGGAATGGTACAGACACACAACCCTTGTCTATGCCACTAAGAATTATGTCGGGGGCGGCCGCGGTGTGCCGACAATCCAGTGATTGATATGATGAGCAACGACCTAAGCAATGACATGCATCAACCAAGTCAACGAGTCTGACCATCCGATCCCTCTAGTCGTAGTCTTACGACAAGCAAAGGTTACTGAAGTAAAGTTCTTAGCAGATCTTCATGTGTGGATTAATAAGAATTCTGTGAAAGTTTTTATTAGTTATTAGTTATTTAACAGAAATTACCTTAATTAGGTTCCTGCATTTATTGAGTAACAAAAGTAAAGACTGGGGTAAATCCGCTTCGCAGAAGTCAGTTCCTAAATTACTGGTGTATCTGTCAGGATTTAGTTGGACATATTGCCTTGGTTAACTGTTGTGCATGACTGAAAGTATCGACCTATAACATATCAATCATTCGCCCCTTTACTTAAATTGTAAATTTGCTGTTTTTCAGTTGGTATTAAATGTGTGACAGATGGCGATACATGAGGGTTTATTCGTGTTCTACTGTTCGAAAAACTGTTTTAAGCCAAGAATGTCCGATTTGTATATTCATTATCCTGTAAAATGATAAAACGTCAGATGTGACACTTATTTACAATTGTCAAATTCTTGATTAATAGTTCTGCTGGGAAATGAATTCGGCTGGGTCGACGCATGACATTAAGATATCCCCTGAAGTGTTGTTACAATTGTTGTATGCAAGAGTTGTAGAGGCTATCACGGGAGTGTGTTTGGGGGTGGTAAATATTCTGTATTAGGAATAAACACTATGTATAATACATAGTGTTTATTCCCCAAACACACTTGAGTGATAACCTCTTATCATATAATGTCGATCTTCAATTCTGTGCTTGAAAAGCGCTTTCCATCTCTCACAAACATTACCGAAACATTGCGAGTTTTCCTGGAATGCTTGCAAAAATATTTATTACGTCACAGGGTTAAGTGATGTGTCAGTCGGACAGTGACAGTAGCCAATTTGTTCCAACTGAAATCTGTTTCTTATACAGTGGCGAAACAACATGTACGCAAAACAAAAAATTGTTTTTACTTGCGTTTCCATCGTTCTGTCCGCTAAAGTAACTGCCCTTTGTCAAAGGGAAGCTACTCTAACCCTAGTCTATGAGACGTCACGGCCACGGTCAGACGTTGTTGACAGTCGGTCTGTCCTGTCATAACGTTAAGAAGTGCAGTCAGATGTAAACACAGCGACAAAACAAAACAAGGTAACAATTCGAACATATTTCGGCCAAATCGAACTATTTTAATTTGTGGAAAAGGCTCAAATCCGCAGAGGTCTACAAGCACAGATATGACTACTGATCCTACTTGGTTAGGCCCAGTGCTCTCGCAAAAATGTTTCGAAATTTATGTCTCCAAAGTTGCCAAAACTTAAAAAATGCCTCAGCTACATCACAGTTAGACACTGATTTTCATTATATTAGACTGTTCTTTTGATAATGATAGCAATTATCCGAGTAGTTTCTCCAGATTTCCGATGGTTAATTCTGACTCGATCGCCGAATGACAAGGGCGACGCCATGTTTGTTTCTAAACACTGAAAGTAGTCCCTACTTGACCTTTGATATTTGCATCTCTATTCGCATATGACCCCAACGGATATCGCCTTAATCAATTGGCTTTATCCTGCCGATAAATCTTCCCCTTGTATGATAAATCTAGATCTTTATAATGGGTCGGCAGATCTGCCGAATGATGCGATCTATGTATTTTATGTTTTGTTGAATACTAGTAATTAGAATCATAGTTAAAATATCAGCCAAGACCCCCAGGTCGCGCATTCTATTTGTTAGACTTCAGAATTACTTAGCTTGAGACATTTCAAGAAATGGAAAAGAGCAATAAACGTTGTGTATGATTTGATAATCCTATCACGTGTTAAATACATTTTCACGAGGATTTGTTTTTTTGAAAATACAAATTGAACATCCGAGAATAGATGCAGTTACCACAACGTAACCACTCATGACATACTGTTAACATTCCAAGTTGTATTGACTATATATTCCCGTGACTATAGCTGTTCAAAATGAAATAAAAAGAGGAACATGAAACGTACATAAGACGAGCTGGCAGTTTATCAGATGACATATCTCCACATTATACATAATACTACTGTAGAGTGAGTGCGTGAGTATGGTTTTATGCCGCTTTTAGCAACATTCCAGCAATATCACGGCGGGGGACACAAGAAATGGGCTTCACACATTGTACCCAGGTCGGGAATCGAACCTGGGTCTTCGGCGTGACGAGCGAATGCTTTAACCACTAGGCTACCCGACCGCCCTAATACGTTATAATGAATATGTGACACTGAATTGAGTATAATATAGTTGTATTCTTTTCATCGAGATATGTTATCAGACATGTTTATCTTTACATACATTGACGCACGTAAATTGATCTAATTGAGTGTGGCATTGAGTTCTAAGCGGGTTTAAGCAGGTGTCACCTTCGTTCGGAATATAACATAATGCAGTTTGCCTCATTTCCCAATATGTTTCAAACAATTACTACAATTACATAATTAATAAAGCAATATTAAGCAGCTGTGTATTCGCGACTTGAACAATGATATGCATTGACGTTTTGTCAACCCGAATTCCCGGGAGCTATCGCATGCATATCGAGCTCTCAGTAGTTCGTGCAATAGAGAGTGTGGCCTTTAAACTATGGCATTGAATCTGTCAGAAAGTAGAGCCACGTCGTCTACCACAAAGGTAATGGGTTTCATTTACCTACGTTTTTCTGCTTTAAACACATAACGATGAATACATTATGTAGTCTGAACTCGCCTCAATCTAACACATATGGAGGTGAAACAATATTTCCAGAAATTATACTTTGAACTTATAAACACATTCATCCAAAGAATTATCATTCTTTCTCCATTGCGACCCCGGGTCCAAACAAGTTCCCAGTACATGTTTGTTTTAAGAGCGGAATGAAATGAGGATCGGGATAACACAGGTAGCGAGTTGTATAGTAAGGACAAAGTCAATTGAAAATCAAACAGCTCCCCTTTCAGCCTAGTCCACCCATCATTTTAATGTTAAAACTTCCTGGTTCACAAACATGGCGGGTGTGAGGTGGTTCATACTTACTGTGGCTGTGTCAGGGCGATGGATTCAACTCATACTGGGTAGGTAATAACCACAGGTTTCTTTCTTGTGGGCAATGAACATGATACTATGTAAAATGCTCCTTGGAACATATGTATTAAACAGATATATCAGTAACAAAAACAACGTTGTTAACAGTAAAGCTGGATATTCTCTCTCATAAACGTCCGAGGAATAAAACAATAAAGCTATGCTCTCTCTCCCCCCTCTCTCCATCTCCCCCCCCCCCCCTCTCTCTCTCTCTCTCTCGCTGAAATACTGATGTTGCTTTAAATTAAATTTTAAATTTGTTCATTCACTCCACCAGAAAAATAATGATGAGGCTTCGACCTGATCTCCACATTACCTCCTGCAAACGGTCGTGTTAGTCGATGAGCAGGAAAGTGTAAATAAGTCATGTCACAGAGCATGACTACCCAGTGCGTTTTAGCTTACTATTATGATATACAAAGGCCAGTGCAGATCAATTCGTTTAGAATCCACATGGGCCAAGTATACATATGTCCTGATGCAGTTATTTAAATATATTATGTATACAGAAGTATTAAACTACAACAATTGTATCTTTACTAAGTATGCCCATACTGTATTTAGTCTCAATCTGCCTGAAGCTTATTTGCTCTAAAATTACTTCACAATGACTCTTTATGTATTTTATCAAAGTTATCTGGCTGTAGAAAGTATGTAACTGATCCATGCTTACATTTGAACATGTGTTTATGGGTAATGGGGTTTGTAGGGCATTGCAGGAACATTAACCTGATTCCAACCTTTGTTCTACATTTTGCAGGTACCAGCTGCCCGATAGGAAAGTTCGGAGAAACCTGCAGCTACTCCTGTCACTGTACTCCGACCTGTAACCCGACAACCGGAGTCTGCAGCGGTGCATGTGATCGAGGCTGGTTTGGTGGGAATGGGCAAACCTGTCAGAAAGGTGGGTTTTCCTGTTACAAGATTAGATTTGAAAGAAGATATGTAACGAACTGCTGGCGTTCTAAGACCATCACCCCTTCTGAATCGCTCCCGAATGATGAAGAATCCAATCAGCAGATAATGACCTCCTGGATACCACCCTCTTGTCAATACATTTGGGTATTTTTAAGGCACCAGTGTCTAGAAGTACCGATGCAAATTGCAAACAAATATCATTTTTGCAATCCAAAACAAAATAGAGCAGTACCGAGTATCCGCTATTGCTATCTTACATACTTTTAAAACCAAACTTAGTCTTCCGGAAGATATATTGCCTCACATAAAATCAATAGAAAATACAGAGATCCAAACATAGTCAAACAGTCACTCTGCATAACATTCTTGCATGTGATTTGTGTTTATTGAGCATTGAAATACTATTTATAATATATTAAGTTTAGTCAAAACTGTGATAGCCCTTTACAAACGTAACTTTCTTATATTTTAATATCTTGCATTATTTAAGACCAGCTATGCATCTTCACTATTTCATCTTTTCGGCTATTTTCGAACAAAGCCTCTCAAGCGCAACTTCACTAGCTTCAACAACAAGATGGTCGACTTTATGTGGTTTACGTCACATGACATTGGCGAGGAAATCATGTTCAGTAACCAAGTGGTTGACAGTCAGTCCACATATTTTCAAGGACCGCCCCTGTCGTCTTGTGGTGCAGCATCCGCCATAAAAGCGGAATGTCGGGATTTTGATCACCGTCCGAGTCATACCAAAAGACTTCAACTTGTTACCCTGTCTGACGTTCGGTATTGAGCGGTAAAAATAAGGCCTGGTCGTTTCGGAAACATTATACTGTGTCTTAGTGGGGTATCCATGTTAATCCGTGGCATGGTATCTCAGTGGGGCTAGCACTATTAATATCGGTATTAGTTCGGACTAGTACAAGCCACAGAAACACACGTGCATGCACATTGCTATATAAGTGGTGCTATATAAGTGGGGGTGGTGTAATAACAATAACAGCTTGTTGCCGACATCGGATACATGTATGTGGTACCTGTAAGCGTACGATTTGAAAATGACCACAATGCCATTTTTGATAAGCTAGATTGAATGTTGTTCTGGTTAGTTTTATATCTGCTATTTTGATGTCCCCCTGATTAGTTTATCAAATGAAGGTGGATGCTTCAATGTTGAACTTACTGTTCATCAATACCTAATACCAATCGAAAAATACATCATGTTTATGGACATAGTAAATGCAAAGAGTAACGGCTGATTTCTCGTTGTTTTCTCTTTCTCGTGAACAGATGCTTTTCTATGAAGTTAACCTTTTCAAATAATTATATGCCCAAAATTCATTGCTTTTTTATGCGGAAAAGTTGGCCTGCAATAAAAAAGCTACGCCACCTTCCGGACAATACAACCCATTCTGGTGAAGGCCTGGTACTTACGGCATATCTCTGAAAATACGATCTGTTGGATCCACCAAGATCAAATTCCTAGGAAGTTGAAACACGTACTTTTCCCATATAGTGAATTACAATTTTAAAAGTAATTTATCTTCGTACTTATTTTCGTGTAAGGGAACATTGCCTACAAACAGACAGCAACTTCGTCCCCAACTGACTACACAGATAAAGGTTGGACTGCAGACAAAGTTGTGGATGGAAACCGGGACCAGGATGTGCTCCACAACTCCTGTTTTCACTCTGCATTAACAGACTCTAAAACTGTGTGGAGAGTGGACCTGGGACAGCCGTACAGGATACATGACGTCAGGATATACAACAGGGCAGGATGTATGTATCAGTTCAGACAATTTTATTTGATTTCTTGGGATATTACGTTGAGGCGTCACAAAACATGTTAGTTCATGCTGATAAAAAATAACTTCAAATGTTTCCTTAACATTTAAACTGATTGTGGTCACATGGTCTTTAGCAACAAGATGATAGGTTAACTGAAATTATAGCTTTGATATGCTAGTTGTCATTGTTAAAGAGCACGTTGTCACCCTCCGTCAGTATGTCATTTCTTTCATTGCCCGTTTTAGATACTCATTTGATCAGGACTGCTGTCCTCTCCCTGAGTAACTCCAACAGCTCCACACCCGGCGTCACCTGCTACACCTTCCCCTCTGACACACCTCAAACACCCGACAGCGTGTACGACGTAACGTGTGACGGCACAGGGAGATACTTCACCATCACACACAATATACGGCTAAATCTGTGTGAGGTGGAAATTTATGGTACGGATAATTGTTGATAGCATATTTACACGTTCTTTTCAGACAAAAAATGGCTACTCCGATTTACGTCGGTAACTTCAGCTTTTATGGTAACCTAAGTGTCACCACTCAAAAAAGGACCAATGAAAGGTAAGAACGTAGCATAACCCTGTAACAAATTTGAAAAGATGTCATTTGCATTCTCTAGGTAATACAATTCATAGTTTTATTAGTAACGGTAGGCTATGTGACTGTACGCCGGGGAACTTGGCTAGATGAGATTATGTCCTTAATACGTTTCACGCACACAAATACACGTCACAGTTTCTGCGGGAAAGTATCTCTTATGTAGAGCCATTAACAATTATCTTAGGCAAAGCATATGTGCAATAAACGACATCTTAAAATAATGTACAGCAAAATATTCGCCTTTTTGCGCATTTTGCCAATTCTTCATTCTCAGTTTAATTATTTATTCGAATAACGGATAGCTTCATAGGAAGTTCAAAAGTATCTGATGTCTGCTCTTTATCCAAGCACCAATGATAATCCTTAATAGTCTCCAGTAATTGTAAATTCGTTTTCGAAATGCCGTACAAAATCTGATCCAAACGTCCATTTTGGACAATGTTAAAAAGTACGTGACCGGCGATGGTACCGTTCTTCCTTTCTACGTAGTATCAACGGTAATATAAAAACAAATGGCGCAGATTGATTCTGATTATTTACATGACTCGTGTATGCATGTATGCAATCCCTGCATCAAGGGAAAACCAACTGTCAACATCAACATCGTCGTACATATTTTTTACTTTGGTGGTTTACTGTTTCAATCGTGAATTGAATATTTGTATTTTCACTGCTTCAATATGAGTGTTGAGAAAGCCTTACTTTCTGTCTTTAACGTATCTGATTTCAACTTGACACTGTTCTTTATCATTACCAACTTATGTCTTCAGGATATTTTAGATGATAATCTAAATCAATATCGATAGCT